TTAATGTCATTGAGTTGACACTAATTCAATTGATGAGTTTATAGAAAAAAAACTACCTACTCATCCCTAACTTTCTTTTTTGAAAACACGATATTTTAAAACTTTTTTTTGTGCCAAATCTAGTATTTCATAAAAGGGCTAAAGTTATAAATGATCCATAAACTATAGTAAAATGTTTAATGCGGTATCTAAACTTTAAAAATCTCTAATATGATATTTGAATTATGAATATATTAGCTAATATGATTATTACATACTTAACTTCAAATGATGATAAGTGACGAATAAATAATCATTCGATTATCACATTAGTTAATAGATTCATAATTGAAGTACCGCATTAAATAATTTTAAAATTTAGGTATTACATTGAATATTTCACTATAGTTCATAGGTCATTTGTGACATTAACTTTTCATAAAATTAAAAAAAAATTATATCTTCCCTAATATAGTTATAATATTTACTTTAAAAATTTAAATTTAAATCTTCAAAAATTTAAACCTTGGTCAAATATTATTTTACACATTGATTTTTTTTATAGGAGAATTCTATTTACGCCTCATTTAATGCTATATACACCCCACTTCTAAATACATCTTAATTTCAAAACTCATTTTCCTATTACTACTAAATACACCCAACCCTCATTTTCTATTTTCCATTCCTACCTATTTTCTTGTCTTCTCTCTTCACTTTTTGAAATCGAGTTTTTCGAAAATGAATATCCAAAAAGTTTTGAAACTTCTTGAAAATGGATATTCGAGAAGATTAAAAGATTCTCAGATATGTATTTTCGAAAAGCTTGAAAGCTTTTCAAATATTCATTTCTGAGAAGACTTAAAGATTCTTGGATATTCATTTTTGAGAATCTTTGAGTTTTCTCGAAAATGGATATCGAGAAACTTTCAAGCTTCTTGGATCTCTATTTCCAAGAAACTCAATTTTACTTTTAATCAAAAACCTTAATCATGCGCTTATGAACTTATTTACTTGATTGTGTGTGTGAATGAAATTAAAATCAATATTCTCAATATGCATGGAATAAATTTAAATTATTTTCTAGTTTTGGATGGGCAAAATGAAGTTCTTGGTTTTCTAGGCTCAAGACAAATACATTTTTATTCCATGTATACTTAAGAACTTGGTCTCTTTTATTTGCACATATGATCAAGTAAGAATGGGCACATTGATAACTCATGTGTGTGCATGTATACTAGTCCAAGCTTGAATATCTTATAGAACATTGTTGCTGACAATGTCGTCAGTAGATTAATAAATCTTGTAGTATCTAATCTTTCAACCACCAATCTTTATTGTCGAATTTGCTAGCCTATTGATGATTTTTTTTAGTAGCCTAAAGATTAGAGATCTTAATTTTTTCATTATCAAGAGTTTATAATTACATATATATTTTTAAAAAATTTTATCTATTCTCAAAAATGGATTTTCGAGAATACATGATGACTCTAAAAAATCTATATCTAAGAAAGCAATATAATTTTTGAAAATGGATTTTTCAAGAGTTGTGTTTTGTTTTTGGTAATTCATTTCTGAAAATCATATTACTTTTTCGGAAAATGGATTTCTAAAAATACAATATAATTCTCGAAAATTTAATTTTGAGAAATACGAGGTGGTTTTTGGGTGTATAAGCTATTAATGGTATTGTTGTCATTTATTAAAGGTTGATATTTGGTATGTGGGTATTTTTGAAAGAAAATTTTGGAGGTGTATAAAGAAAATTTGGTGCTATATTTAGAACACCCCTTTTTTACATGTGTTCTTTGTTAGAACCCAAATAAACCTTGATGAGATATATATGAAAAAGTGACTGGCCATGCCACATGAAAACCAAATGGGACTATGGCCCTCCAAGATTTTGAAAGTAATATTAAAAAAGTTTTAATTTATGGTGTTATGTGAATTTTTTAGATATATCTTATTTTAGTGTAAAATTAAAAAATTTTACACTTTTTTAATTGTTAATTTTAGTAAATCCAAAAAATGAAAGGGACAAGTAGAAAAAAGAAAAAATAGTTTAATTTCATTACTTAGATCTATTAAAATCAATATTAAAATAAGTGTAAAACTTTTTGGCATAAACTGATCTCTCATTCATGAGTAATAGCTTTTAAATTTAATAATTTTTTAAGTTGTGAGGATTTTTTATTTAAGATGATTTACTCAATTTCTTATAGTTTCAACAAATAAGCTAAACACTTTTGATTTGAGATGAAGTCATTCAAGTTCTGCTTGGTAAGGAATTATGCACTAATTACTAAGTTAAATACTTGAACGTAAATAAACTAAAAACTTTAATAATAAAAGATAAAATAGCAAAACATATACATTCATAAGTAAAATTCATGAGGTTCATGACTAAAAACTAGTTATACGAAGATAATGAATAAAAATCAAAACTAATACTCATACTATAATTTAAGAGCTTTTATTATATTATTTACCTCAAAATTTGAAAACTTTAAAGTTACAATGCATTGCTCTATTTATTAAGTTCTATTAATCTATTCATTTTTAATCTAATTTTTTTACATTATTTTTTATTAGAAACTTTGAATATTTCATGAAAAGCTATATCTAATTAGTTTATCTTATAAAAAAATACTTAGCGTTAATTGAAAAGTCGACTCAACTAATTATTTTGAATTGATGAAAAAAGTAATAATAAAAACAAATAACATGAACTGATAAAAATAGACTTCTAACTAAATATTTGCTTTTCATTACAATTTTCATTCATCTCATAAACTTCATACCTCTCAATTCCCCAAAATTCCCTACAATTGCCAATGCTTTAATTTTTTTTTTTTTTATTTCAATAAATTTTATCCTTTGATGGGAGGCCACAAGTAATAAACCAGTTATCTAATAGCGTAAATTGAAGTTCTTTTATAGATTAGTTTAATTTTGTCTTATCGTTAAGCACAACAGCATCCTCAACAAACACAAATAACGACTGTCTCCTTTAAATGTTCTTGATTTTCATTGATCCTCCTTATTAAGATGATAACTATATTTTATTAAGAGCAAATTGTAATAAATATTGTTTGTTGGAAACCTAATGATACCAAAGGATAACTATTATGCTAATAAACTAACCTAATGACACCAATGGATAAATATTATCCTAATAAACTATCTTAGATGCAGCTAAGCATTCATTTTCTCGCTTAGTGAAATAATTCAAGTTTGGTGTATCCATTGTCCTCTTCTTGTTAATTTTTATTTTGTTTGCACATGATTAATTTAAATATACTATTTAATTTCCATTCAGTTCTAGTATATTCCTCTACCTCGACTTAAGAAAATTGTCTTCATATATTTTTAAAGGAAAGACTAAAATAACAAATAATCTCTCGAAATTTATCACTTTACTTAGGTATTTGGACTCAAATAAGTCATTAATCTTTAATTTGTATTTAAATAGGTCTTTAATATAAATCAATTTTTTATTTAAAATAAAGGTATATTTGGATATAAATAAAAAAATAAAAATTTATTTGGATATAATAAAATATAGGTTTTATTCAAAAAAATAAAATAAAATAAAATAATTCAAAGATTATTTTTAATATTTAACCAAAAGAAAATAATAAGCCTGTACAATTACGTTATGGAAGCTTAGGTAAGCAACTGTTGTTTATTTATTTTTTATTTTAATAAAAAATTTTGTAGTAGATAGGTTGATTTAATCTCTAGGTTAGGATGCATATGTTGAAAGCTATATCCTCTCATCGGACAACATTAAGATACCCCATAAGTAGACCTGTTCACGTAATATAAAAGTTGTGAAATTGTGGCATATTTGTTAGGTTTCATTTTGTTAGTAAAAAATCAGTTGAGTAACATCCAAATTAAATTATATATGTTTTGGAGTGTATGAAATTTATAAGAGATTGGTACTTCAAACAACCACAGTTTATTATGAAACAAAAATCGATATTGAACAGTTGGAAAGTTGAAAATTATATGGTCTCATTTTGTTTTAATAAAATATTATTAATAATATTTATAATTAATTAATTTTTTATTTTATTTTAATTCAAATTATAATTTAAATATTGATATAAAATATTTTTTAATATTTTAAAAAATACTATAAAACTATTTTTTAAATTTAAAATTATTAACCAATCTTGATTCGATCCGCCACGATCCACAAAATTATGGGATATTGATATTGGAAATTACCTATGTTACTAGATATTGTACTTGTTAGGACTTAAAGTTAATTAAGACCATCTAAGTAACCAAGTACAAGCGCCTTGATATGATATTGATAGATAAATAAGCGGTTGGTGGCTTGGTGCACTCATTGTTTATTTTACTCTATATACAAGGATTTAGCGCCCCCCCCCCCCCCTTTTTTTTACTATTATATTTAATAATTAATTTTATTCTTTATCTTTTCCATTAAAAAAATCCTACCTTGTTGACATGAAAGAATAATAAAAGACTTAGACAAGGAATTCTTTACTCTATAACCCTTCTATGGCCGAAACGACACTGGAAATTATGGTAAATTTATATGGTAAGGATTAAATTAATATATCTATTTGTTTTTGGCACAAAGGAAGCTGGATATGAATATAGTAATTTAAAATATGATATAATAATATAATATTAAAATAATATAAAAAAATGATATGATTTAAATTTTTAATGAAAAAATATAAATTTAATAAATTTTAAAAAATTTATTTCGTATTTTTATATAAAATTATGATATGAATGCAAGAATTACTAACATTTTATATGATATATATATATATATATATGTATATATGAATTGCTATGATATAGAAAAAGTGGTTGTAAGTGATGAAATATAATAGAATACTGTAAGATTCTAATTTTAGTTGCTATTGGAGTACTCTATAAGAATATGTTCAAAACATTTTGGGGTTTGAGAGATTCCAAATTTCCAATAACTTGGTTACTTTGGGGTATAGAATTTGCCAATCAAGTATTGAAGTGATGGCAAAGAATCCAGCAAAAGACAAGAAGATTCTAAGGAAAGGAGGGTGGAGCGCAGAAGAAGATGAGAAGTTGATAGCATACATTAGCAGATATGGCATTTGGAATTGGAATGAAATTCCAAAACATGCCGGTATATATGAAATTAACCAATTTAAACATAATCTAGTTAAAGCATGATCTACACCAATTGGTTTTTCATATTATTTGTTTTGCAATTTTTAACATTTATAGGTTTGTCAAGGACAGGAAAGAGTTGTCGACTTCGATGGCTGAATTACTTAAGGCCTGGTATAAAGCGAGGAAACATCACCAGAGAAGAAGAAGAAATCATTGTCAAGTTGCACAGCATTCTGGGAAATCGGTTAGATCATATGTAATTTTAGAAACTTGATAACTATTAAGACGTATGAATCTTAGTCATGATGTTTTCTAATTTTCTTCAGGTGGGCAGCAATTGCAGCAAAACTGCCTCAAAGAACAGATAATGAAATAAAAAACTATTGGAAAACCCGCATTCAGAGAAGGAACAGGGATTTTTGTTCGAAAATCGAACCCCCAGCAGAAAGTGAAGACAAGTACTACGCGGCTGAAGTAAAGCCGCAGAAAAATAATGTTTCTGAAACCGATTCCTCATTTCCGAATTCCTTGTCACAGTTACCAGAAACGGAAGAATCACCAGACTCTACCACATATGATCATCTCCCTTCCTTTTAGCAGTAGCCAAGCTGTGCCAATTGAAAGAGTTGAGGCAGCAGAAGATAACCAGGTTGGATCGTCTGAGACATATAATGAAATTGTCCACACACTGGCAATGGAAGGTTCGGAGAAAGAGGCGTATTCACTTTTAGAATTGTATGATTCTTCCTATGTTCCCAGCTATGATTTCTGGTGTTCATCATTCATTTAGATTAGGGAGTCTGGTTGTCCTTTTGTCTTTATTCCATTGATGTCATGCTTGTACAAATTTTCTAAATTTACTGAAGGAATAAGTGACAGACTGTTACGCGGATGCTTAACAATTTGTATGCTTTCTCGATATTTTAAATTCATACCTGTATAACAATTGGATTCTTAAAATTAATGTTAAACCTAGGGTTGCTTTTCATGATAATTAGTGTGTAACCCCCGTTATGTTGGGATTAAATATTTTTATTTAAAAATATAAATTATTTAATTTTTTATTTTAATAAAAATTATAATTATTTAGCTCACTAGATTATTTAGTTTTGATATTTTTAATAAAATGTCACATGACAAATTATATAAAATAATGATAAGGATATTTTAATAATTTAACATGTAATTAATTTTATATTATATTAAAATTTAATATGTAATTTAATATAAGTATTATAATAGTTTTAAAACAAAATACCATATGTCAACTTCCTCTTAAATACTCATAAGGATATTTATGTAATTATGGTATAAAAGATATAATAGTAATTTTAATCACTTATGGTAGGATGGGCATTTTCTTAAGTATGATATGAATAGTATTATAGTAATTTTGATCAATTATGGTAATAGAGATTTTTTTTAATTATGATAAAAAGATATTATAGTAATTTTAATCAATTATAGTAGGAGTATTTATATAATTATGATAAGATGTCATTATAATAATTTTTATCAATTATGAAAATATGAGTATTTTCGTAATTATGGTAAAAGGTATTATAATAAATTTGGATATGTGTGTCATAACATGTAAGTTAGAGAATTAATCCATTTGACACAATTTATTTTAACTAGATATGATTGGTTATCTAAGTGAATTTCTTCTTTTAAAGGAGGTTTAAGCTTAAAGGGTCTCTAAAAAAAATAAATTATGATCTTCTAAACAGAACTAGGTTTGAAAGTTTAAATACATGTAAAGAAAGTTATAGCATCCTTGCAATACTTACAAATTGGTACCAAATAATCTTAAATCATTTTTTTTTGCCTTAATTAAAATGGTTCTAACTAGGGTATTCATTTGGTAGACTTGGTTAATTTTAAACCGAATTATTTAAAATCGAATTAACCAAAATATTTTATTTTAATTTCATTAGCAGTACCAAAATTTTTATTTTTGAAAATTAACCAACCGAATTAATTTCAGTCGGTTCAAGTAAATTTTAGTTAACTGAAATGTTTTCTGACTATTGCTTCTGGACTATTTAGACTATTCAAACTATATCATAGTGAGGAAGAAAGTTACATTTAGATACTAAAAATTATGTAGTTGAACAACTGCAATTGATTACTATTATTACCGAGTATACTGGTAGTCTCCAACAACTGCTATACTAGGTGTTAACTTATTCTCTAAGAGCTCAAGTTTGGCTCTGCTAATAAGCATACTGGTATAGATATAAGGGTCATAGACAAGTTGTAAAAGAAAATTACAACAATCTCTTTTGGTTATATCTTCATCACTTGGGACTGCAAAGTGCTACAAAATTCAAGTTTAGTTTGATGTAAGATATTACAAAATCATGGTAAAGCTTGAAAACATATTTTTTTCTTGAATAATATACCTGAATTTTGATTAATTATTTAGCCAATTCGGTTATTTTGGTTTTTGAATCGAATTAATTAAAACCAAATTTTATCTAAAATTATTTCAAAAATCAAATCAATTTAATTTAGTGACCAACCGATTAACCGAATTAAATCAATTCGGTTGGTTAATTTGGTTAAAATCGAAATTTGAACACCCCTAGCCCTAACTTACTGTTATTATTTATTATTTTTGTTAATTTAAATATTTAAATATTGGATACATTTTTAAGTTTTCTCCAATATCTTGGTCAACTCTCTTAAATATTTCTCACCTTAAGAATATTCAAATAACACGTTCGTTTTCTTGAAAAGACTCCATCATTGGATTTATTAAATAATTTATGGAATTGAATTAATTATTAATACACAATAATCTAAACACATAAATTCATAATAATACAATAATCAAGTATAAAATTTAATACATGTATCACAATTTATCTAATAATTGATCATACAAGGAAATAAAATCACCACAATTTATTCTCAATTTTAATTCTTTCTAAATTAGAAATAAATAAAAATTCTTATATTGATACCAATTGCTAAATCCTCCAATGCCTTGATTGAATTTAGAAAAAGTTCTCTCACCTAAAAATTTCTAAGAAATTACATGCCCATAACTTCTTTAGAATTCCGTTATTAGATTAATTTATTTTATAAATTAATTAAACAAAAAAAATATATAAAACTTCAACTATTTAAATAACCAAATAACTTAATCAAAATAAATTAACTAAAAAATCAATATAATAAAAAGGAAAAAATAAAAACATAAAAAATAAATAAAATAGAAAAAGAAAATCATGCGTAACGGGTCGGGTCATACCCTAGGTTAACGCAAGGGTTTCGGTTGGGCCAAGCGTGGGTTTTAGAAAATTTTCAAACATTGCAATGACATCGTTTGGGGGCGTATATAAAGCTTTTCTTTGTTTTTTTTTTTTTTTTTCACTTTTCCCTTATTCTTTTCTTTCTATTTAGTTGGATGCTCTTTCCTCTCTCTAAAACAGTTTGAATGCTAGTCCATTTCTACAAATTATTGCTGAAAACTTTAAGATCTAGGTAAAAATTTGATCAAAAATTTTAACTTTTGCCAAAATCTAGAAAAAAACCCAGAATTTTCACAAAAAAACCCAAAATTTTCCTTTCTGTCCCTTTTTTGATCTTTACCCCTTGAACACCTTTCTAGATCAAATCCCAACTCCAAAATCAAACCAAAATCTTCCCCAAAAACATTACCAAAACAATTTTCCTAGAATCCTTTTTTCTTCTGTCTAGTATTCCTACTTTTTTTCTCTCTCTGATTGATTTTTGATTGATTCCTTTGTGTGAATTTTAGATCTTTAAATAGGCCTTTAATCCTAATTATATTAGAACAAGGTTTTCTTTATTACTTCTTCTAACCAAACTCAACCTTGGATTTTTAATCCAAGTATCCTTTTCATCCTCTTTTCAAAACAAACCAATGTATATCCCTCTTTCAATTCAATTACCCTAATTAGAATCCATCATTCCTCAAACCTTTTTCCTTTTTTTAGTTTCAGCCAAACTCTTCTTTTTTTTTTCCTTTAAAAAAAAACCATAAACCAATAAATTAATAAATTACCTTAAATTAAACAAATAAAGCAAAAATAACAAAAATCCTAAATTTGAATTTTAGACACAAATTAGTCCATTTTTTCTTCTGTCTAGTATTCCTATGTTTTTTTTTTTTTTTTTTGCTTTCTCTAATTGATTTATGATTGATTCCTTTATGTGAATTATAGCTCTTTAAATAGGCCTTTAATCATAATTGTATTAGAACAAGCTTTTTTTTATTACTTCTCCTAACTGAACTCAACCGTGGATTTTAAATCCAAGTATACTTTTCATCCTCTTTTCAAAACAAACCAATGTACATTCCTCTTTCAATTCAATTATCCCAATTAGAATCCATCATTCATCAAACCTATTTCCTTTTTTTAGTTTCAGCCAAACTCTTTTTTTTTTCCTTTTTCTTTTTTTTCTAAATTCTTAAACCAATAAATTAATAAATTACCCTAAATTAAACAAATAAAGCAAAAATAACAAAAATCCTAAAATTCAATTTTAGACACAAATTAGATGCCAAACTATGTAGGGTATTTATAGTTATCATTCTTTGTGTATTTTCTGTGAAACATGAATTATGTAAAGATATAGATAGCCATTACGTTTGAATCCTAATCTATCTAAACACATTTTTTTTTTTGAAAAGACTCCTTAAAACATAAGCTTAAAAACCTTTGAAAAACATAAAAACCACTCTAAATAGAGGTTCAACGACTTTGAAAAATTAAAAAAACTCATTTCATTGAAAGGCTTAACAACTTTAAAGAATATAAAAGACTCCTCTCATTAGAGGCTCAACAACTTTTGAAAATATAAAAGACTCATCTCATTAGAGGCTCAACAATTTTGAAAAACATAAAAGGCTCATCTTATTAGAAGCTCAACAAATTTGAAAATTATAAAAAGCTCTTCTCATCAGAGGCTCAAAAACTTTTGAAAAATTTAAAAGGCTTATTTCATCAGAGGTTCAACAAATTTGAAAAATTAGAAAAGCTTTTTAACTAATATTTACTAACTTTTCTTGAAATCATTTATTTTATCCAAAGGTTTCAAACTTTTTATCAAATGAAGATTGAAATTTATCTTTACAAGATTTTCCACACTCAAGAATCAAAATCTTATAAAAGGTCTTTTTTCTGCAAAAATATTTCCTCAATCGAGGATCACTACCTTACTCATTTTTTAAAAAATTTTTCTAACAAAATCTTATCTCCAAAAATTATCTTTCACTAATGATTAAAATCTCATTTTTGGAAAAACATTAATCAAGTAAAGACATTTCACACTTTCATTAATCACCACTTCAAGATCCAACCTCACAAGTTGTTATCAAACAAATTACCTAAATACAATGTTTATGAATGCAATGTCATAAATTGCAACTCCATTTGTGGCAAAAAGGGTTTCGAGATCGATTCAATGCTTTCATTCTACAACTTCCTAGTTTTCCTTTTTCATCTCTTAGGGAATCATAACTATCCCATGGTCTCTAGTTAATCTTATCGTTTGATCTCATTATTCATACTCTCCCTTTCCAGAAGCTAAAAAATATCTTAAGTATCAATATCTTACCAAGCCTTTTACTTTCATTTCATTTTTCCTCCAGCCTCATCTCTATCATCTTTCCAAAGCAATGTAGGGATCGTTCATGTTATCATTCATTTATTCATCATCA